GCCATTCAGAAGCTGACCACTGGCGAGGACCCGCTCCTGCTGTGGAGGAAAAATCAAGGTAAGATTAACAGGCTAATGTTCACATATTCTCTCATTTTTAAGCTCCCGAGTGTTTTATGTCACAGTATGAGGCTCATTCAGACAATGTCACTAATCGTTTTTGAACTGTTATGAATGGTAAGACCACAAAACCTTCAACTTTCAAGATGCCCCTTTGAAAAGTTTCCTCCATGCCAACATTCCTCCAGCCTCCTGCTCCCCAGTACTCACTGTGCTCTGAATCGTTTTTGGAAGCTAACAATCATCTCACTTCACGTAGAGAGCTGATGCTCTGCCAGAGTTAATCATCCCCCCCCACCCTCCCCCATTCGACTGTTTTTGTCTGCACGGAGCATGACAGGAACTGACATCTCTGTTGTTTGGTTGTTTTATCTGTTTAGGGAGGAAGAGTTTGATGAGTACTTTGAAGACATGTTTCTTTGAATCTGCTGGTATCAGCTGCAGCCCTGCTGTGACTACACTTCCTTTTGTATCCCACTGATATTAAGTATGTTCTATTTGGGTCTTGTGTGCATGAAATAAACATCATGTTTACCCTGCCTCTCCGTGTCTGTTTTTCTGTTTACATTTTCTGGCTTCCTCCCGTGTTCCAGCCTCTGCACCATCATGATGAGAATAATTGAAAGTGGTTTGAAGCTGCCTGGCTCATGGGATGGTGATGGCTGGATAAATTACTGCTTAGTTTAATCATAACATTTGTACGTTCCTAGGAGAAATCAGTGCATCGACGTGCCAACATTTTCTTCAGCTGAATCAAAACAAGATTGAAGGAATAATTTTGGAAGCCAAGAAGGAACATTAAAAAATACAGCTAAAAATCACCAATCAGACACTAAACCTTCAAAGGCTCATAAAGACAGTAACAGTCAGCTTTCTATCACCTACAGAAAATTTCCAATATTAAAGAACTAATTTCTCAGCAGGACCTTAAAAACTAATTAATGCATTCATCTTTAGTAGAATTGATTAATGCCACGATGTCCTCTCTGTCTAAAAACCCCATCAGAAAGTTGCAGCTGATCCAGAATGCAGCTGCTCACATCCTCACTAAAACTAAGAAGGTGGAGCACATCACCACAGCCCTGAAGTCCTTCCAATGATGGTTTTCCATCTCTCAGAGAATAGACTTTAACATACATCTGTTATTATATATATATCATAAAATCTCTTTGCACCAAAATACATTACAGACGTGTTGTCAGTGTATCGACCGCCAAGACCTCTCTGGTCTGGCTCTAATCTACTCTGCAGAACCAGAACAAAAAATGCAGATGCAGAAGATTTTAGTCCTTATGCTCCTTTTATCATCAATAATAAATAAAAAATGTAAAAGTGCAGAAACCCGAAATTATTATAAATCCAAATTTAAAATGCATCTGTTTAAAATGGCCTTTGAATGTGATATCTAAGCATAGTTACGTTTTCAGTCCAACTTTATTTTTGTTTTTTTTAATCAATCATTTTATCTTTTTTTTTATTTGATCTTCTGGTTTTAATTATTCTTTTTTTATATTTATGTTGCCTCTATGCCACTTTGATGTACTTTTTCCTCTTATGTAAAGCACTTTGAAAAGTCTTCCTACGGAAATGAACAATATCAATAAACTGACCATTACTTCCTGAGCATTAGCACCCCTTTAATTTTACAGACATTTTGTGACATATTCAACATTTTGTACCATTAGTTCTTTTAAAGAAGGTTTCATGTAATTACCAATCCAAGCATAACATAAATGAAAAACATATCTCACACTGCAAAAGTGATCAAGAAATAAGTCAAAAATTCTTCAAGTACCGTAAGTGTATTTACCCTTAATTGGTAGGTAAATAAGATTGTTTGCCAATGGAATGAGTATTTTTACTTTTAAAATAAAATAGATAATATGAACTTGAAATAAGGCAATGTAATATTTTTTTCTGATTGTAAATGTACGCTTTCTTGTTCCATTGGCAGAGTGTCTCACTTACCTCCTCCATTCAAGAACAAATTCACAAATTTTAGGAAAAATTACTTGTTTGGATTTAATTTGCTGCAGTGCACAAAGATCTAACAAGCTTGAGCTCCACTTGTAGTCAGCCTTCCTGAAGTCACAATACAGCTGAATTTATACTTGGATTGAATTACACATCAATAACTTCAAAAGTTATTGATGTGTTTTTAAGTTGGGGGATCAGTTGAACAAAATTAAATTAGGCAATGTGCAGAGAGAAAAATGGCCCACAGTTATACATCTAATGTTAACTTCCTCATACTGGTCTGTAAGTATTGAAAGCTTTATGTGGGATTGAAAGTGAAAGCTCAGCATTGTGAGGAGGCTAGCAGTAAATATTTACTCTTTTAAGGCTGGTGGTATTTAAAACCCCTCAAATTTAACATGCTCTGTAATATTTAGCAAATAGTGGGTGTAAAGCAGTCTTATCAAAGCCCCTCTTTTTATCCTGACATTTCAGTTCTGCTTCTATGCAGACCTAACGCTTAGATTAATCTTGGCTGATCTGAACCAATCTAAGCAGTGCGACATACAGGTATAAAATCCAGTTAGACTTTTTCAGACAACTTCAAACCCCTGTAAACTGTGATCTAAGGGCATCATGATAGGTCTTGTTTAGAAGCAGAACTTTTAAGGGGTGTGACTCATGCACACCTACTCATAAACAGCACATGTTAAATAAGTTACCTGAAATGACATTGACTCCTGCAGTTGAATCTTAACATTGGTGTCATACTTTTCATTCCTCTCAGGATGCTCATTTTTCCCATTTTTTCCATTTCTGTCTGTCCTCTATATGCGCTTTGATGCAGAAGTCCAAACAAAAGTTCATCACAGTCTCATAACGACAATATAGTTGATTCTTGACTGATATGACGATGGCTTAGGTTTTTATAAAGCTGCTTCTCAGTCAGTATTATAAATGACACTTTAAAGGCACAGCAAGGGATTGAGATCTTTCAAACGAAACAAAAGTTTCAAAAAATCTCTTCACATGGGATTGCTAAAAAGACAAATCCAAACTGCTGTTTGACTTCAAAAGAACTTTAAGAGGATTTCATCGCTTAAGTCAATTTTTCCTCTGTGCGGCAGAAGCTTCATAAAACATTAAGAAAAAAATCGCTTAATGCCTTCTCTCCAAATTCAGTCAGAAGTTTCAAAAGGGAAAATTTAAACGTCTTCTTTATTCTGTAAAGGTCATGGGAACCGGATTCACCTAACGTGAAACTTTTGGGTACAAAAGCTGAAGCTATTGAAAGCTGGGGGAGAAAATAATTACAGCTTAAACAAGACGAAAGGCCTTCAAGACTCTATTTTCCTGTGATGAGAGTGATAAGAGCTCCTTTAGATTTCCCATGACTGTTTTTGTGATCAAAAATATTTTCATACCCCTAAATTTTATCTGTGAGAAAAGTAAAATAGGCAAAACCACTACATGGCTCACTATTACAGGTTATGCATTTATGGTTAGTGGTTGCTAGGATTAACTGGCTCATGCAGGTAGAAATAGGAGCAAAGCACTGATCTGTATTTATTTAATGGATTGCTGATAGCCAGAAAAAAAGTGAAGCCATGGGCCGCCATATTGGTACTCCCCACTCCCACGGAGAGGCGCCATAAGAATGCCTACGTGTGTAGCATTTGGCTGCAAAAACAAGCACTTTGCCAGCTGTAGGAAGACGTTTCTCATGTAATTTTACAGTCAGTGGATGTACCAACAAAGAAAATCCATATATACACCGATGTATCCCATAACAGAGTACGTAGCGCAATATTAGTCTGGATATCTCGGACTGACTCGAAGATATTGACCAAGTTAGCCATTGGCATTGTGTCTAACATTAGAAAATAGAAAGTAGAGTAATAGAAAGTATTTCACTGTGAGATTTTAATGTACCGGTAGTAAGTTTTGATTAAATGGATGATGCTGTTGTTTTTTGTAGTGTTTGGTAAATTTCTCATCTGAAAAAGTCTGATACTGATGAAAAAAAGCAGCTAAAACATTTTTAAAGGCTAATGCACAGACACAGCATAAAATTATTTGGTATCATGCATTCACGATTTGCAAATAGAAAAATACTAAAGCATTAACAGACATGTACTTGTAATTCAGTCTTGATGTGAATTCTTGAAATTATATGTAATTACCACTAAAGTGTCATCAATACATGTATATACATGTACATTATCAGTTTAGCCTTTTTTTCTTTTATATTTTTCTCTATTTTGGTCACTTGAGTAAATATAAGTACTTTGAGCTACAAATTTTAACACAAATAAAAAGGCAATGTTGAACAAGTGACAACCAAAGCCCTTTTAAACTGCAGTTCAAATTCTACAATGAGCAAGGAGATAGTGCTTATAGTGACATATAGTGAAATATTTATTGTAATACTACAGTAAGAAGAAACTATTACTGAGAGTTATGAAACCAAGAGTGTTTTATCCTTTCGACTAGTTTCTATAGTTTATATTCCCTCATTCACATGGGAGCCGAGTATCCAACCCTCTTTTGAAAGATTGTGTCCTAAAATGTGAATCTCTCCCGAGTAGGAAAGCAGGAAGTCCTTTTGATTGAACACAGTTAAAGTTTCCAACTACCGGTAATTTAGACATTTTAAATATGTTTTCTAAGAAACATAACCCTTTTTAAAGGGTAAATATGCATAAAATCTGTTAAATTGGTACAACAGCATTAAAAATTTCTCCCTTCCTGTATGCAAATCATGCTGAAAACAGATCCCAGCAGCAGCAGAACTGAATCGGTCAGGGATCAGAGTCAATCCTGATCCTCTTTCCCCCCATAGGCTCATCCTCCTTTGGAGCCTTTAAGATCCTGCACGATATATGACTAAGAATGAGCACCATCCTAACCCAGAGGGAGAAAGAAGGACATTGTAGTTGGTGCCTGCAGATAAAGCTTCCCCTTTGTGCAAGAACCAGTTTTCATTATGAGAAATGAGTTACTCTTTATTTTCATAACTCCACAACTTCCTACATCTGCTTACAGATATTACAATTCATGACTTATACATACATTTGAGCTTATTTCATACATTCAAAGACAGAACTTCTAATGTTGTACTGAAGATTTTTCATATCTCGCAAAAATGTTCAAAGAAAAAGCAGAGGATATTTTTATCCCTTATGAGAACGAGCTGAAGAAACCTCAGAAATTACATCAATGCTGTAAATTCTTGATGTAATCATCGAAACCCTGCAGTTTGGACTTAGGAATTATAACAACTCTTCAGTTCAGCTCAGGCAGCAAACAAGGAGTTTCCACACAGACCCAAAGCCGTACTGATGGGATTAAATGCCTCATTGATTAGAGGAGATGACGTTGCGTAACAGGATGCTCCTCGCTTTTTACAACCAGGAGGTGTGCTGACGTTGCTTGCACTTTGACCTCACATGCCCGAGCAAATCAGCTCGTTTACAAAAACACATATTGATTCACATGAAGTCATTCAGCGAGAGAAACGGTTCAACTTTCACACAATCAATGTAATGGTTTGGCTACTAAACAATTTTCACAGTTTTTCTTCATGTAAATGATAATGCTTCACTGTAAGACGGGTATTTAAAGTCCAAAGCTGTGTGGATCTCAAACACTGGCTGGCTATCAAATCCTGCTAAAGCTTCTTAAAGGAGAGGCAGATCTGTTGATCTGTTTCACTCTTTCAGAAGCAGGAGCTGCTCTCGTGGATCTTTATGTTTCTCTTACAATCAAGTTTACATCAATTCAAAAGTTAGATCTCTGTAGAAGAGAACTACATCCAGGCGAGCACATCATTTACTTTGATTATGCTGAATAAAACCCAGTGTAAGCAACCGCGTTCAGAAGTTACTTAACTATTTAAAAAGAGACCCAATAAGAGCGATTTAAAGCGAAGTAATAATACAGTCCCTTGGTAACTCTGGAGGAACTGTTGTGGGAGATTTACCTGGATGGAGAACCATTAGTTGTGCACTCCACAAATCTGGGCTTTATGAAAAAGTGTGAAGAAGGAAGCCGGTGCTAAAAGGAAGCCATGAAAGGGTCAAAGAAAACATATGGAAGAAGGTGCTCTACTCAGATGAAAGCAAATGTAAACTTTTTGGTCTATGTGCAAAAAATAAACATCATTCTGAATGCCACATCCTCACTGTGACACATGGCAGTGGGAGGAGCAAGCTATGGGGAGGGAGACAGGAAAGCTGGACAGAGGAAATAGGAAGATGGATATAGGTAAATAAGAGGCAATTCTGGAAAAAAAAAAAAGGGAGACTAGATGCTTCCAGAAGAACAACCACCCTGCATTTACAGTCAAAGCTAAGATGGAAAGCTCTAGGAAAACAACAAAACCGTAAATGTTTAGTCTCTACAGAAACAAAATGACCCCAAATGATTTTCTTTCACATAATTTTCCTTCCTTTTTAACAATTATGTAAGAAAACTGGTTGGTGGCTTTTAAAAAATTCCATAAAACATTATTTTGATCATATTGTGACAAAATGAAAAAAGATCAACTCTACTCTTTGCATCATCCCACAGCTGTAACTCTAAAAGTTAATCTCAAATTGAAGATGGTTCAAGTACAAAATTCCCAGAATCCCTCTCCAAACAAAAAAAAAAAATATATATATATAGATGAATAACATATTAAAATAAATATATCATCAGAATTCTTACTAATGCCTTTGGAGGAAGGAACTCATCTTCCCTAATTAGTTTGGTGCCAATGTTCACTGTGCTATTGCCATTACATTATGAACAAAGCTAGCAGATTGAATTTTCCCTCTCTATGCGCTGAAGGGAATAAAATTATATTTCTGTATAAATGCTCTTAACAGCTCCCCTTCACTACATTAGAAAAGTCTTTATCCTCCCAGTTGGCCTTCACTCTCTCTGTGGGTCGGCTGGTAAAACAGCAGCAACCAAGTGCATTTTGCAGCTTAAAGTACTTTTATACATTGTTCTTATAAATGCCAACGACATACTAAATGCTATTACTTTGGCATAGCTTGTAATTATCTATTTTAATTGTCTATACTAAGAGGTTTGTGTAAATTTATTGCAACATGATTTCAGACATGCCTAAAAATGTTACTATCTTACAAGTATATTGTGAGTTTCAATGTTTTTTTATGTCCCTGGCCAGGTGGCACTTAAAACCAGAGGGAGGAGGAGGTTTCACTCATTTCTTCTCAATGAGATCTTCTCTGTGCAAAGTCCCAATGTTACTTCCAGCCCAGGTTTCCTCCTGCTCATGCATTCCTGTCCAGCGTAGCTAACCTAGCTGAAGAAAACTGGAGCAGACTAGGATGCAGGGTCAGAAGAGAGAGAACTAGCTTATGAAGCGCAGGCCAAAATGCCAAAATCACATGGCTTTGGAAAGACTTTTCAGACCAGAAAAGACTAGAGATGTAGATATCAGTCCTAAGCAGTCCATAATAATCCAGGTCCATGAAGAGAAGAAGCCTAACAGATGGTACAAGTCTTTGACTTTCCTGCTTCACCACCACCACCACCAGCTAAAAAAAACAACAGAAACGGAATAAGAATGTTGCAGTTCTTGATCTCAGATTATTACAATACAATCCTTAATTAATTTCATACCTTTCTTGGCTTCCTCTTCTTCTAACTTCTTCTTTTCATCTTCAATTGCCTTCATCTTTGCATTGTACACCTCAGCCAGCTCATTCCAGTGTGCCCTGTTGTTGTTCAGGCCGTCAAACATGGGCTGGATCTCTTTGTGGAACCTGGAGAACTCCTTGCAAACAAAAAGAACAATAGACGAAGGTTATTCTCATCTCGGGGCCTCTTTAGAGAGCATCTTCAAAGGCGGAATGTGATCAGGTATAAATGATGCAGCAACGGTCCACAGGGGCGACATGCCGCACGCAGTGTGAGTGCTCATCAAAATATCAGCCTGGGGTGAGAGAGAGACGGCTATTGTGTTCTACAAGTTCACAACCTGCATCTATTCACATGGACTTAGATAGATGAAAGCTTAAAAACACCTCTCTGAAGCCAGTGATGTCCTGCATGCTAAGTTATTGAACTATCCAGCTTCTTCTATCATTTAGGAAAGTTGTACTGAGAGATGATTTATAGGGCTTTAAAAATTCAAAATACCAAATTTGATTTTACATTTTGTCATGAAACATCTTTAAACGAAAAGTTTTATTTAATGCTTTGTAGAGAAGCCTTAAGTGGGTTTCGGGATACCGCTCAGTAAGCTTTAAAATGTGGCATTTTAATTGTAGCTCTCTATAAATCATTGAAGTCTGTGTTCTATATGCTTTCCCATAGTATGATAGTGCCATCACTGTGTATAACGTAGCAATAGGCGATGTGCAGCGTTAGCTATGCTACATGCAGAACAAAAGTGTTGGTCTCATCTAATAATACGACTTTTACATGCTTATGTGGTCCACTTAATAGCATGCTGAAAACCTTCAACTGAGTGTTCTATGAGTTTCTTTATTGAAACGTTTGTCATTCTTCAATAAAGGCTATATTTTTTTTGCAGTGTAAACGGTTAACCTGAGCTGTGGATCCCTGCAGCTGCTATAGACTTATTATGGGACTCCTGGCTGCTCCTCTGATTCATGCTCTCAATTTCTCCAAATGATTTCTTGTGTAGGTTTGCTGTTCTGTTATATTGTTTCCACTTATGATGATTGACTGAACAGTGCTCTGTAAAATGTTGTTTTATACCCCAACCCTGCTTTAAACTCCACAGCTTTCTGTCTGACCAGCATGCTGTTTCCCTTGGTCTTAATAATGATGCTTGTTCTCTAATGTTTACCAGCTACTCAAAATTCACAGACACATGGAAACAAACATATATTATGGCCCTGCACTGCAAAAACAATCTAAAAATGATGAAAAAAATGGCTTAAATAAAGTGTATTTACCATTAGGAATTAGTATTTTTAGTCTTAAAATAAGATAATTACATAAAATGCACTTGAAATAAGACAATGCAATTGTGTTTTCTTATTTTAAATGTAAATTGTCTTGTTCCATTGACAAAGAGTCTCAATTACCTCCTCAATTCAAGAAAAAAACAACTTGTTGCAAGAAAAAATGACTATGTAGATTTTAATTTTTTGCAGTGTGGATGTTAATGAAGTAAATTATATTAAAAATGCCCAAATGTATTATTTCTACATTATAGTTTTGTTTTGTTTTTAAGACTTTAAATCTTGTTTGAACTAAAACAAAAAATGTATTGAAAAAGTAAGGGTTATAAATACTTTTACCTCAACATAATTTATTATTGAGCTCACAGCTGATCTTATGCCATGTAGAAAAGACTGCCTATATTATGTGTTTTTTATTCCTTTAGCAAACCTTTAAGTATTTGTTTTGCCAATGGGATTGTTTTTTTTTTATTCAGAAAATCGCATATACTGTACACACAACAACAGTTTGTAACTTGCAAAAACTGCTGAACTAAGTTGTAAAATCACTGCAAAGACCATCATAAGAGTCTTTTTACACTATGAGTGGATTTAGATTCAAGCAAACACTCTCTGCTGCAAATCAATCTTCTTTTGAGTCGGAGCATCCATCTTTACATTTGTATCTTTTTAAAGTATTTTTTAAGAGAAGTGGGGGCAGTGAAGTGAGAGAGAAACAGCTTACCTTGTACACAAATGAGCACACAAAGTCGATGAAACCACATTGCATCTTGGGTAGTTGTTCGGCACAGTTTCTATCCATCATGGGCTAAGAGAGGGAGGGAGATAAACACAAGAAGGTTTTCCAGTGTGGAAAAAAAAGAAAGGAAGAAAAAACTATGAAGGAATGAAAATGAAAAAGGGAATAAATGAAGACCCTGGAGGAGTGCTGATCTTACAATTGGCTGCTGGTCCAAAACAGTTCTCTCCAAATCACCCTGTTCCCAGAATTCAGCAGCAACCATTAGAGCCACCTGGAAAAACAGCCACACACAGACAAATCAATAATATTAAAAAAATAGTAAAAAAGAAAAAAATCACTGCACCATTGATGAAATGGACATATTTGTGCATTGTGGTGGCCATTTTCAACCCTCTTAAAACTTCCTTCCCAATTATCAAATATCCATTGTTATCCTGAACTCTTACATTAATCATAACCCATCCCAATAACTGGTCAAATCCTCTCTCCAGCCTTTGCTTCTGAACATAACCACCATTATTCACTCCTTGCTAAGCTCTGGAATCATTCCTCCCTTTTTAAAACCGCAGTAATCAATCCTACACAGAAAAAACCTGGGTCAGATCTGAACAACTACAAAAACCTCTGCTTCATTTCCAACTTGCCTTTCATTTCTATAATACTGGAAAAAACAGTTGCCTCTCAAATTCACTCTAACAACCCCCTGTCCTATTACTGAAATTACTCTCCAAACAAAATCCCAAACAGCCCTCTGATGGCAGCCGACTCAGGTCTCATTGCCGTTCTTATCCTCGTGGTCCTGAATGCCGCTTGCAACAGTTTCTCACCCCATCCTTCTTCATTTTCAGGTGGCATCACTCACACAACCCTCTACTTGTTCTGTTACTACTTCTCTAGCCGTATTAAATGAATCCAAATGAAGTCGTGTCCATCCGGTGTGCCTCATGGTTCTGTCCTGGGGCCCCTACATTTTATCATCTACCTTCTGCCTCTTGGCAATATCTTTTGGAAATTCAAAATCGATTTTTATATCATATCAATATCAGTGTTATGCAGATGACACCCAGCTCTATTTACGGTATCTGGTAAGCCAAACTCAAAGCTCCTTCCGGCATCCCTCAACACCTGCCTTGCTGGTTTCAATGCCTGTTGCAATTGAACTTCAGGAAGTTGGAGGTGAACCAAAGCAGAGATCTTCCTGGTAGGAACCAAATCAGTTTTCTACAAGATTGGCAGTTTCTCTCTTATTATTGAAAGTTCTACCACCTCCCCTTTTTCTCAGGTCAAGAGTCTGGTTGTCATACATGATAGCCCTCTGTCATTCACCTCCCACATCAATAAGATAACCCGCTCGGCCTATTTTCACCTGCAAAACATTTATTGTCTTGGTCCCTCTCTTTCCCTGCACCCTACTTCGGTTCTGGTCCATAGCCTCGTCACCTTCCGCGTCGATTACTGCAATTCTCTTCTTTTTGGTCTTCCTCAGAAATCTCTTCACAAACTTCAATTGGTCCAGAATTCAGCAGCTAGTTTAAATACCAAAACCTCCTCTTTCTATCAAATCATCCTAATCCTTAAGGAACTTAGCTGGTTTCCTGTCGGCTTCAGAATCCAGTTCAAAATCCTCCTGTTTGCTTTCAAGGTCATCCATGATCTTGCTCCCCCACTTCTCTCAGATCTCCTTCAGATCACTACAATCTACTGTGTTGAGCCTCCTATCTCTGGAATTCACACACACCTAATATTCATATTAAAAAAACTCTGTTTGAATGAAGGCTAAAACTCATCTGTTCAAGACTGCATACCTCCACTGACTGCCTCCACTTTTTTTAACATAGCGTATATTTTGTATTTTGATTCTTTGTTTTACAGTGTCCTTGGGTGTCCCGAAAGGCACTTTAAATAAAAAGTATTATCATTATTATTATTATTAGAGCTTGGATACATATGACTTTAGCCAGAAAAAGACAGTGGGAAAAGAAAAGTCTTATTTACGGGTGAACTTCACTTCAAGGCTCACCTTGCTCTGCACCTCCCAGGGTTTGGTGATGGCTGACAGGTCGCAGCCTGTCATCATCATGGCCCTAGAGGTGAGAAACAGACAGTCAGTCAAAGCAAAGCAACATCCCGGCTGTGATGAATATGATTTTTTGCTGCCTGCTGTGTCAGAAGGCGGCTCACAGTGGAAACAGGGGCAGGAATTCGACAAAAAAAATAAATAAAGAAAAAGGTGTTTACTGCTTCCATACATGATAATTTCCTTCCTGATGGGATTGTTAGAAATGTAGGCGATGGCCTCCTTTTCCTCTGCCATTGGTTCTGTGGCATTCACAATGTTCTGGAACATGGTTCTTTTCCTGGAAGTAGACAAATAGAAAATAGTACCTATTTAAGGAAGTATATAGCCCAGTGGATTCAACTTTAAAACAATTCAATATATAGTTTTTGGTTTTTTTTACAGTAACAAATCCTATACATTTTAAAATAATACATTTATTACGTTGGAAAATGAAATATTACTATAAAGGATTGGATGAAAACTTTATATAACCTCAGTTTAAAAAAAAAAGCTAACTCTTTGTCTTAAAAAAAAGAAAAATTAGTTGCTGACAAATTAATGTTTGCTATCCAACACAAAGTATTTTTTATTTATTTATTATTTTTTTTTTTTACATTTATTGCTAAAATCAAACATAATTAAAAAAAAATGAAAAGTTGTTCTATAGGACATAAATGCAGCATATGCCTGAATAAAAGAGGACTAACGATGGTGTCAAGTAATTGTTGTTTTTTTTAGGGTGAGATTATTAGTCTATTAGAAGATATTATCATATATTTCTAAGCTTTTGCACATCTTTAGCAAGAGTTGTTATGGTAGACTAACAATGAAATGGGCAAAAAACATAATAAAAAAAATGTGTTTTTTTTTTAAATAACTTTTCTTTGCTATTTGAAATTTAGGCTTCAGTAGGATTCCTAAGCAGTCTTTAAAATCTAATATAGAAAATAACTTATCGTTCTTTTCCATGTGAAATGAATGAAAATGAAAATCAATGAGAGAAAAAAAAATAATCACGAGTATTAAAAAGTTCAATTTTTCCAATCCTGAGTTTTCCTTCTTGAGGAAAATCTAACAATGTGTAATAACTGAGTGCTTTTAATTTTCCTTATATTTAATCCACATGTTTTTTTATTTGATTTAACACACATTTAACACATGGAGATTTTTTACTTTTTATCATCAGTGTTTTTCTACTTTGAATGGAATAATAAATAAGACAATTTTACAAACCGGTTCCTTTCTGGGGAATTCTAAATTTAATTTGAACTGGGTTTTTAAATGTGTCCTAAACTACCAAACAAAATGATGTAGAAAAGAAAAAAAAATCCTTCTACAATCCTGGAAGACAATCCAATATTAAAATAGGGAGCCTCTACTCCAGGGGTTTTTAACATTTCATATTCATAGAGCCAAGTTGAAGCCGCAAAATATAACATGACTTTTCTAAAATATCTCTATATATTTTTTATTTATTATCTTGTATAGGAAATTAGTTGCCATCTTAAACAATAAACAATTTATGTATTTTTAGCTTTAAAAATAATATTAAAACACATAATATTAATATATAACACACATTATTTATATCAATCCTGATAAAGAAAAAAAAAAAGAAATTTGAGACTTGAAAATCTTATATTTTGTAATCAGGAGTTAATTCCAAATAATTCTGTGTAAACCTACTTGAAGTAAAGGGCCAGATCAGTGGCAATAATGCAGACATCGAACAAGTGCTGCACCGTCTCAAACTGACGCTTCTGCAGATTGCAGAAGATGTTCAAGCTCTGCAGCAGAGGACAGACAGAGAAAATGGTCAGTTTATAGCGTCACCACAACCAGCGAGTCTGTTTTTCACTAATCTTCCATGTAATCACCTCCTCTCCCATGAGCGTTTTGCTGTATTCCAAATGGTGTCTCTCCATGATGGAGGAGCCATGAAGTTTGGCCAGAGGAGATGCACTCCTATAGATAAAAAATAGAGTAATAATCATAAAAAAAATATTCTTATTGGATTGTGAAAAAAAAGGTGTTTGAACTCACTTTGTTTGATAGAGGTTGTTTGTTCCTCTGTGGTCAATATCGTGGCAAAAAGCTGCAGCCACCATGGCGAAGGCATCAAGATCAGAATAGTACTTCCTCAACTTCCCTGTCTGCAAATCACAAGTTCAGACATGGATCAGAGTTGTATTCTCATATTCCTCCATCAAATAAGTAACTTGATTGATTGTATTACCTGTAGTAAGCAGAACATGGTGTGGCCCACATTGAAACCATGCCTCCAGTTGTGGTAAGTAATGGCACGGTAACCCTTTCTCACAGTATACATCCACCGAGTCAGCGTCTGAGAGAAAAAAAAGTTTATTATTGCATGTTGCATGGGGATCAGCTGAGTATGAGAGTTAGTACTACAGAATTAAAACTCAAAGTCAGTAAATATCAGTATCAATGAGGAGTTTAAAAGAACAGCTATGTAAGAAGGGAATAAACTTTAACATTTCTTTGGTTTGTATAGGCTGCCAAAGAGCGACAGAGAGCAAGGAGATAACAGGAAGGCTGAATGGACTCCAGCAAAGTAGCTTTGTTTAATCCTTTTGAGATTTCAACCCCTGTCTGTTAAAGATGATCCTGGATTCTGAAATGTTGGCAGCCTTTTAGAAATCTCAGACTTAAGTCAAGGATTTACATTCTAGAGGGAATCCACACAGAAGCTGCTGTCTTAGTGCCGGGTCCCAGCGCTGACCCAGCAACCCCTCCTAACAGATACTGAAGACAGTGCTATCATTTAATGAAATATCTTAAGATGCTACTGTTAGATATTATTTTATATTTTTAGAACACACATTTGATTTGGCCAAAATTAAAAAGTAGTGAGAATAAGATGAGCCACATATTCTCTAACTTTAATTCCTGCTGGTTGCATACAGTCCGAGGAAAACTATTACAGATATACTGACCACTCTGTTACACTCAAATATGCCCTTATAACCCTGCCCCTCCGAGCTCTGCCAACCCGCAGCTCGTTAATGTTCCTGAATTTAAGTGGAAACTGAGAGGAGGCTGAGCTTTGGCTGTAGCCACTCCGAAGTTATGGAATGATCTGCCCCTGCATGTCAGGCAGGTTCCTTTCTGTTTTCTGAAATCGGGTTTATTAAAGAAAAAATAACTATAAAGCATTTTGCACGTCCAGAGATGCTGATTCTATTATACATTTCTACTTTTTGTTTTTATTTTATTTTAACATTTCTTACCATATGTGTAACACTTTGTTGACCCAGATTATTTCAAAGTTAATTATAAATAAGGTATGGTTTACAGCATAGTGCAGCACTGCCCCTCCCCAACCTATTGAAGCTGGCTTAATGAAGGATAACAAACTGGCTGATTGGAAATGGTATTAAAATAGAATAAAGTTTTGAGAAACACTGAATCTAATTATAGTAAAACTGTTTAGAAATTCTAGATGAAAACCTTTAGGCCTCCATCTTTCTTTATGGCTACCACAGCAGATTGCCTAAAACACAAGCCAGCTACTATAAAACAAATAAAGGCTTAATATTCTGTAAAATAAGATACCACTAAATGTAGTCGTTTTTTGTACATTTTTATAGCATTAAATCTGTAAATGAAAAGCCAATTTTATTGGTTACAAAATGTCATTTTTATTTTGGTGTAACAAACAAGTGTTTGGTTGTAATTTCAAGTAAAAGGTATTTTTTCAGGGCTTTTCCTGAAAGTTATCACTCTGACAGTCCTAAACCAGTCCAATCATTTAATGAGAAAAAAATCCAGGGAAACACCTAAAATGATATATCTTTTTGAAATCCTCACAAATATGTTATTCCTATTCAGAGGTGTTAAGAAATAACGAGACCTATTCCCCCATTTAAATTTCAGAACCTTTTCAGAAACTAGAACTTCAGAGCACCTTGTTATACAAAAAAAGAAAAAAAAAACAGACTCACCTCTGCAGGAACTTTAAACTTTTCGACAACTCCGAGCTCAAAGAATATGCGAATGCCAGCTTTAATGAGGCCTAACTCTGAGACGGGGAAGTCGCTGAAGCCAAACGAGTACAAATTCTCTCCATCCACGTTGTCTGCCGGCGGGCAGTTTGCCCTCTGCACAGAAAATGGTTTAATCATTCAAATCAGGGGTAGATTTTGATTGAAAAACAATAACAAAATGACAGCTATTATAGAAGTGAGGAAGAGGCCATTTAATATCTTCCTTTAAATCAACACATTTACATATTTTCTCTCAGTATTTAGTAGATTCTTCTTTCTAATAAGGTGACTTGGGTCAAATGTGCTTCCGGTAGTTTCTTATAACACTTTGCCAGACTTTACCTTACTTTGTCAGGTCTGTTGGGAATCTTGCACACAAAATGCACCTCTGCCCTCCAATTTTCTACAAGACTAAAATCTCGATTTTAAGGGCAGAGCAATGTGCTTGTGCTCTGAGTAGGTTGCAAGTACCTGGTTCGATCCCCACAGCCTCCACCCTGGGTCCCTGATCAAGACCCTTAACCCCATACTGCTCCCTGGGCGCTGCACAATGGCAGCCCACTGCTCCCCAAAGGGATGGGTTAAATGCAAAGACATAATTTCTCCATTGTGAATCAATGATGCTCAAGTATTATTATTAAATGATCACTGCAGTAATTGGCTCTGTTTTTCTTAAGAAGCTTTTTTATTGATGAGGCAGTAAGCCGTGGAGTTATTGCCAAATTATGCCTGTGTTTTAATATTCTGGCTTACTGTATACCTTAAGAGGTCACTTCAATACTTTCACTTCGTTTCTTCCCCTGTGATGGTATTTATCCTGTAAAGTAAACAGCAGTTGCTCTTGCAGTAATCCACTCACAATATGAAGCTACCGCCTTGCACCATACAGTTGGTTTAAGGTCTTAGGTCTACTGGCCTTCCCCTTCTTTCTTTATAAGTAAAAATAGTCATCATGGCAAATTATATTATTTCATTTCATTAGATCTTAGTTTTAACACCTCAACAGTTGTTCCTCCATTGAACTTGAGTGCTGTAAATGACTTAGGATCCTACAAAGCCATGTAAAACATCCAGGGTTTACCATATCATTAAACTTCTGATTTTGAAGAAACAATATGACATTTATTATACAGTAATAATTTTGGTGAGATTCAAACTAAACTACATGATATTTAATCTGATTGAATGTAAGACAAAGAAGAAAGAAAAAAAAGGTTGTTTTCTTCTGCAGTGTCCGTAAATATGCTGTTTCCACGGGGATGATTGTGCAGCAAATTTTCCCGTGATGAAAGGACACATACCAGTAATTTGTACATCTCCTTCTGGTCACAGTCCTCAGGGTCTGCGTCAAACTTCTCCTTGGTGTTCTGGTAATAAAAAAGATTTTTACGTGACATTTAGGCGCTATTCATCAACATGCTCTGTCGATTAAGAGACCTTTAAAATACAGTTTACTCCTTATTCATCTGATGAAAGAGCTCAAAGCCGTGTATAAACCCTTGTGTCATTTTTCTAAATGTTAGTTGCCAAGTGGACGTATAACAAACCTGACCTTTTAATAGTCCTCTAAAAACTCTGATGCGAAATTGTTTCTGGGAAAGCTATTCTATGAGCTTTCCTGTAAATTACTGCTTAAATTGCTTTTTCAGCAAATGTGAGTATGGATAGGAATGCTAGCTAAGAGAGAAAAATGTCAAAGGAAGCCATGTTGATGCAGACCAGAATGGATTGCATTTCGTCCGTGGTGCATCTGGTCTGGTACATCAGCATCTCCTGGGCAATGTCTTTCCTCCACTCCATACGGTTCAGCTTGTCGTAGGTGTCGCAGTTCAGCACAGACCAACCCAGGAACTGTGTCAGGGCCTGGTTTAAACACAACAAAGGTGCAAAAGAGTCAGATGAGACAATGCAAAGAAGAGGAAGCAAAAAATAACTCTCACAGAATCCCAACCTCAGTGATCTGCTCGTCGTATTCGTCAAAAGGTTTGCCATCCTTCCTGTTGTAGAAGGTGGCAACGCCCACGATTTCTTCTTTCTTGTTGACGATGGGAAGGGAAAGGACATTCTTGATGATGAAACCCGTTTCATCCACAGCCTCTTTCTGAAAAGCCCAGATATTGGAGTTAAACAAGGCGTCTCTCTTCTTTAACATGAACATGAAACAAATCAGTGCAACTTTTGATTGGTTTGGTCTTTCGTACCTGGAAAGTGAAGTAGTCATCTGCGGCAACATTCATCATGTTGCAAATCTGCAGGGAAGCACACAGAAAAACTTAAAAAGGCTCCTCTTTAACATTTTAAAAGCTACTATCAATCTTTTTTTATTATTTTTTTTCTGTCATTAAAAAAATTGATGTAAAGAGATACTCAGCTATTGGTGTCTGATTTTATTTTATTTCTATTAATGTCTGCAATTTACTTTTCACTGATTAAACAAAGATACCAACAAAAATTAGTTCCCTAAATGGATTAAAGGTTAGGGCACCCTACCACCAAATAGCTATTTTTATGTTCTTTAGTAGATATTGACACTCCCTTTAATCATCTACCAGTCTGACATTCACTAGCCAGGACTTTTCTGTTTCTTGATTTGTAGCCATTCTTTGTGGATTTAATGGTATGTTTAGAATCATTATCATTTTAGTGGATTTTTTCTGGTTCAGCTTCGATTTCCCCTTCATACAATACCATATTTATCTTAAGCATCTCCAGTCAAATTTATAGTGGACTCAGTGTTGGTAACTTATAAATATCCCAATATATATACCGTATATAACCCAATATGCTGACAGCTGGGACTATTATGCAAATCTAAGCATAATATTCTGATGGAGATTCAGCTGAGATGAAAGCAATTATCATCTGTAAGGTGTTTCACGCTAAGGTTTGTGACTTACAAAGCCGTTCTCCGCCACATAGGTTGGCAGTCCGCTCAACAGAGCCCAGTGATCCGCGGGGGGACCCCTGAGTAAACAGAAAAGAAATATGAAGCTTTTTAAACCACAACATTTTAATGTTTTATACGTTTTAAAAGGCACAGTTTTGAAAGAGAAATCTCTTTTTGTCTCGGCTAAGGCTGCTTCATTGTATAAATATGGAAAGAGGGCAAACTATTTTTCCAACAGCCCTTAAATTGACCAAATTGCTTTTTGTTGGTTTTTACGTGTTGCATAATCTCACTTTGAAAGACCTAGAGAAATCCAACCTGTGATGGGGTGGGGGTTGGTCCATATTAAAAAATTACAAAACCTCCCATTCTTATTGATTAAATATCACTGAAACATAATTTATTCTTCTTAATTTGATCAGAGGATCTTAAAATATTAGATATTACTAGTTTTGAAATATTAAAACTAATAATGGACTAATAATGGTTACATGTGACATGTGTATGATATGAAGGCCCGATTAAAAAGTTTATTATATATACTGTGACCAATGTGGTGAAACATAGCCCCACTATTATGTTGCAACCACCAACAGAAGGGGAGATAAAAAGCTTTTTGCAACAGCAGAAAAGATTGATTCATTTATTTTTCAGTTTTCACTCGACGTTCTTTAATTTGAGCCAGCGATGCTTACGGTATGACTTTGATTTCTTCTTTGGCTTCTAGGAGGTAATCAATGATCTTGTAAAAGTTAATTTCCTGCAATGAAGAAAAGACATTTCTTTTAAATTAGCTTCCATTTTTCGACGCATTTATGAGAAAATCTGAAATTTGGGAGGAGAAAAGGGAATTTTGTCACCCTGCCATCTGGGGTCTTGGGTCCTTTATAAGGTTCCACATCTCCTAATTTAATAGGCCACTCATCATAGAATTCCTGCAGAACGAAGCCCATAAAAAGTTATAGATTTAAAATTCACTGATCCAAAAATAGCAGAAGCAGCAATATCAGTAACATTGACCTTTTCTTTGGTCATGTCCAACAGCCCCACTGAGTAACGTTCACATTGCAGGTAGGTCCTGACTGTGTATAGAGCTTTGTGGAACTGTCTTTCTATGTCTGTCAACTCTTCAAAGACTTTGCTAGCAGACCAAAGCAGCACCTGGAAGCAGAACATCCTTTTCATATATTTTTATCACTTTTTAAGCTTTATTGTAAAAAGAACTGGCATCTGATCCAGTGAACATATCTAGGCTGGCATGAAATAAACTGCAGTAGTTCAGTTTACCTGACTCCTCCTGGACTCCACATTGAACATGTAGGCTGTGTAATACTGCAGAGCGATGACTTGAGCAAATGTCATGTACTTATGGAAAAGCTGTTGAGGAAGTGATTAAAAGTCAGATTTAAATGTGCAGGAAAGAATACATGAATTTAAACCGAGCAGTTTTATAAAACATGTTCACATTGTTTTTTCCTACTGGCAGATTTTTTGGATAAACACACAAACTGCATTTTATTAAAACATGACAGTTCATACACTTGTGATGACGGTTCCTCTATATGTTACATATTTATAGATTTTAAATTCAGCTGCTAACCTAAACATTGTTCATGTCTGAGCTGTTTATTCAGGCTTGGATGATTTTTCAATGCTTTAGAGATACGGGTGAAAATATTCTAATGCAGCCTGCAGTGATGCTTCTTCACCGAACCAGTCAGAGCTGATTGGCCCCTTCTTGAGTAATGAGAAGGCCTTTTCTCTACTGTTGCAGAGTAATCAGAGAAGTAATTTTAAATTAGTTTAACATTTCTCTGAGCTGAATGCAGCTTTTTTTTTTTTTTTTTTTTACCAGTGTCCAGAATAGAATAAAAACATTAAAATGGATGCTACTGAAAGAAAAGACTGTATTATGGCGTGTAAATATTCATGAGCATCTAACAGTCCAGAGACTCATGGCCAGCGGTATCTGAAGCAGCGTTTCACCTCTCTCTCTCTCTCCCAGGATGAATAATGATGTACCGGTCTTACCTTCTCATCCTCTGGAGTGAACGAATCAGCTCCTATTTTGTTAAGCGCCATGACGACTCCGAGACAGTCTTTATCAGCCATTATGGGGAATGTCAGCAGGCATTTGGTCTTGTATCCGGTCTGCTTATCCACAAAGTCACAGAACTTTGGATTCTGGTTTTAAGAGGAAAAAGGGGGGAACGCTTGAAAAGCATTTTTAAAACAGCCATGGTTTGGCCAGCAAAATATTGTCAATGTTGTTTTATGTTGCTTTTTTAAGTAGTAACTTAACAACTAAAACAGCAAAGCATGAAATGATGTACAGCATTGTGGCAAATAAATATACAGAAAGCTGACACTTAATTGAATGCCAGTGAGAAACAAAATACTGGATATAAGAATGCTATAAATAATGTAGACATAATATATAAAGTGAAAGTATCTACCAACCTTTTATGTGTATTTCTTTTACACTGCTGTTCAAAATTACTAAACATATTATCTTCCAAGTCATATTTATTATATTTTAACTTAAAATATAATCTAAAGCCAGCAGGTATGCGTAAAAAAAGTTATTCTTAACATGGCTATTTGATTTGTACCCACAGACACCTTATTAGTAGTTGGCAAGAAAAAGATCAATAAAACAGTAACTACATAAATAAACTAATAAAGAAAATAATACATGGGAATAAATACAAAAGCATTAAAATAGTAGACAAAATAAGATAAAGAAAAAGCTTGAAATTTGGAGATAAAAGTTTATATTTTTATAATTATTTCTCACAAAATTCAGCTAAAGTTTATTAACAATCCCTTTCAAAATCAGCCCAAGGCGAAAGCTAACCAAAACCAGCTTTGTGACCCTAAGATCGAATCTCTCAAAAATGATGCTCCCTCTTTCATGCATAATAGAGAGTTCAAGGTTTTTAATTCCATCAAAGCATAATTAGCCCACAAGTGCATTTTATTATTCATTTTTCCAAGTGTTCCTTTAAAACACTCAAACAGGTCCCTACTCTCTGAAACTAGTGATTTTCTATTTATAAACTGTACTATATCAACACCAAACCAAACAAGTCAGAGAAATAACCTCAGCTTCTCAATTAATTTACTGCTCCATGTTTATTAGCAAACTGAAGCCTAAAGGCGATTTGATTTAGGCCACATACAATCTTGGCTCAGCTTTGTCATTGGCTCCAGTTTGCTGTATAGATCTTAAACAGAGTTTCAAAGTGAGATCTCAGGAATCTTGTTATGCAAGTGAGGCTATAAATATATATAGCCAAGCCTGAAAAAAAAAGAGTCCATACCAGGTGACTATGAACAAATGAGAGTCAGATTTAGAAGGATTTAGGCTCCGTACCATTCTGGGAAAGATTAAAAGATAATGGTAATTTATTCCTCAGATCAGCATTTATACATGTATGGGAGTTCTGTTCTATTGATGAATTCCTGCTTATGAGGAGGTCATCTGAAAAAATAGCCCCTAAAAAGGAGGTGGCAGAGTCCACATTGTCCTGCTTTCTGGTTATGATAATTACTGTTATGTAAAAATATAATCTGGGTAAAAACATCTGCATTATAAAGGCAAAAAATTAGGAAAAAAAGTTAAAAGTTGAGAAAAGTAAAAATCAAAATCTGAATGATTTTGTATAGAGCTTTTTTCTGTATCTCTCTAAATTTTTACATCTATGCTCCAGATTCTCTCACCTTAGTGATGTCAGGGACATTTTGTGGTTTCTTTGAAGTGGCTGTGTGGCCCACTATTCCCATGTCAGTGGGGATCACGATCTCACTCTGTGGGTTCACCAAGTTGGCCTCATACTTGGACGTTGGAGTCACGTCAAAGAGGCAGGTGGAGAGCTCAGGGATCCCATTTCTGGAGCGGCAGATGTAATAGCTGGCCCGGTCAGCCTGCAAGATGAGGACGATTCTCTGCAGCACCTTATGGAGGCTCTTCTCCATGCACGTCTGCTTCTGCAGCTCCTGGAGCAGCTCAAAGATGATGCTGGCCTCCTGAATGGCGTTAACATCCTTAAATGAAGCTGTGTCCTTAATGTCAAGAGTTTCAGAGAAAGCAGCAGTCAGGGCCTCGGCACGAACTTTCTTATCGAAGTACTCTTTGGCGAACTGCGGGTTGTTCTCCAAGTATTTCTCCACGCTGTCCTTATCTGCCATTTTTTTACCTCAAGTTGTCCTCTTTTTTTTTTTTACCAAAGCATCACCAGAAAAGAAAAGGGGAAAACTTCAATAAAAGCGGTGCTCTTGTAGCTGAAAAGGGTCTATCAGCATCCCTTTGAATGAACGTGCCTTCTCCTCCTTGGACGCATCCTGTGTCCACCTGCAGACAGAACAGGGCAGAGTGCGGCTTAGAGGCTGAAAGGATCAGATTCGCCGCTAATTAACCTGACGTCAGGACATTAAAACCCCTGCTCTAAGCATCCTTAACCTGCAAATCCCAACGCTGATCATTTCACATCAGCCAATCCTACCAAGCTCATAAGGGAGAGTGAGACACTGACAAGTAAGATGCCTGGCCGAACACCTGAGCTACAACCAGAAAGCTTGTTATCAACACATTTCAGATCTGATGAGAAAAGATGGAGTGAGCAAAGAAAACATGCTTTAGATTACAAATCAAGTCCATCATTAAGGACAGAACGCTGTTTTCCAACCCTTGGCTTCCTCATTGAGACGGCTTAAGGATCTTGTTATAGCAGGGGGCGGAGTAGATGCCAGGAGGCCCCCATACCCTGTTATCTTTTACTATAAAGAAGACATTTCATATTTGGTCATCTTACAACAACAAATGTTAATGTGATTTACAGGAATTTAATGATACTCTTTCACAAAGAAGCTTTCTACCATCAAAAATCCAAAAATAAATTCCATACATATGCGACCATCCCCTTTTACTCTGATAAATGAAATCTAGTCAAGCCAACAGCCTTCAGAAACCCCCTAATAAGAAGCAGTCCGTTTAATTCAGCCTCAGTGTAAATGCAGCTCTAATGGGAAAGCATCAGGTTTTGTAAGAGTACATTAGAGGAAAAATAGACAAAACTAACACACACAAAAAAAAAATCAGGGGGTGAAGTTGAGTCATTAAAGCGGTATTTACCTGCAAAGCTATATCTGTAGCTTAATCATCTCATGAAGCATAGCTCAACCCTTCATCTGGAAACTGACAGAGTATACCACGATTCTAAGAACACCAATGAATAGCCAGCCACCTAATCTGCCTGCCTGGATAAGCAGAGCATTAATCACAGATCCATAATTAATTTCTTAAAAGAAAACTATTAATCCTGTACTTAATCTGGACTATTGAAAAGTTGCAAAAAGAAAGTCATTCATAAAAGAAAAGCTAAGCACCATATTTCCGCAGTTGAAGCTGGTGTTCGGCTGCTTTATATGCTGTGGAGATGCGATTTTTAAAACAGGGTATGTTAAGCTATAGGGTTATGGAAGGTTGAATAAAGTTATATTTAGGGAAATCCTAACACAAATGTTTTTTTTTTGGACCCAGCAAATGACTTGAAACTAGGGAAAATGGCCCGCAGTCAAAGTCCAGACCAAAACCTAATTGAAATTCTGTGGAAATATTTGAACATTGGTGATCACAGAAGCTCATCATCAATCTGACTGAGCTTTTGAGCAAGAAGAATGCATAAAAAAATCTGCATCCAAGTGTGCAAAGCTGGCAGAAACCTATCCTATTACTGCAAAAATGGTTCTAAAGTATCTCCTCACCTTAGATCTTTATTTGTAATAAATTCAAATCCATGTTTGTTTGTTTTTTTAAATAAAATCCCAAATAAAATACATTAAGTTAGTAGTTATATTGGGACATTTTTAATCAAGCATTATTAATTTCTTTTAAATTTTTTTTCTTATTTTTTCCTTAATTTCAGTACCTATAAACTGACACCAAGTCAGTATTACTACGAAGAACTTACAGTTTGTTCACTATATGCAGTATCTTACCAGGATTGCATGTTATTTTCTCTTCCAACCGTTTAGAAGGGAAACTGTGCCAAATATAGGCTTTATGCAATGGTTTAAAGTAGTCATTGCAAGAGTGCGATCACTGTTCCTTGTTTAAGCAATTTGAGCAATCAAGAGACAGGAGCTTTGCTAGCCTCAAATAACCTCCCCTGGAAGCCAATCCTCCATTAGCTCCTGATAATGTTCTGTCCTTGTTTTTGCTACAGTGGAGCATGTTTCTAAATAGGTCCTGTCTGCAGAAACAATCGCGTGCAGAGCCACAATAGCTGCCCTTGTAATGCTCTCAATGTGAAAGCGTTCTACTCTACTGCTAATGAAAACATCATGGAGCTATCAGTCCTGAGATTGTAAGCCAGCCAATTTGCAGAGATGTGGGAGTCTGGAGAGCAATGCTCTGAACAAAGATGGCTGGTCATTATTAAGCTCTTTGGTTGGGCTGCTTTAATGTGGAGGGAAAAGAAGTTCCTCAATAGATGCTGCTTTGAGGATTAACACAATCTGATCAATGGAGAAAAGTGAAAGGTGTTACTATGTAAGGATTGTGGAAATACGTAGCTTAAACTGGTATCCAAGTGTGAAAACTTTGAGAAAGAAACTAAATGGAGATATGTAGGCCTATTTTTTAAAAAGAAGCCAAGTAACATTGGACTAGATCACATCTATATAAATGCATGCAGCTTGAAAAGATTAGCCACAAAAATTACAGCCTTATTTAAATATTTTTTTTGCATTTTTAAAGACTTATGTCAGTCTGTGACAGCAAAATTCTAATGCTTAAGTTCAGTGAATAGATACACATATGTGCATGTCAGAGTGTATTTGTATCCTTGAACTGTTTTTATGCATGTTCCCACACTGCATTTCTCATTTTATAATTTGTCCAGATTTGTATTCACTTCTGATGAATTTCCATACAGTCTATCATTGCCATGGTTATGTTTAATTGAGGAATCAAATGCAAAGACCAGATGAGGTTGAGTATTTTAATAACAAAATAAGTGGACATACTAAACAATTATACAAAAAAAGAGATCTGACAAGAATTACAGTCAGGATGTTAACTGACAATGAAGAGAGATAAGAAGCATGTAGTCAACAGAGAACCAATGATCTGATATACTTACCAAGTTGGATCAGATGAGCTAATCAGAGTAAACGAGGAACAGATGAGGCAGAAAGAAAGGCACAGCAGCTGAAAGGATGGGCCCTAATTAACCAGGAGGGAGCTTAAAAATATATAAAATATATGGAGTCTGATAGAAATCTAACAGGAAAAAGCACAAGGTGTAGAAAGAAGAAAAAAAAAGAACCCACAAAAGAATGACTAATAGTTGCTCATGCTCAATAACCCTATATGTGGTTAAATTAGACAAAGTCTGCAAAAGATTTGCTGCAAAGACAATTTCCTCAACATCAAAGTAAAATAATCATTATTTGTAATTGCCAAAGCTTGATGGTAGTTAACCGCACAAACTGTTATTCTGTTTAGGGGTAAATTAGTATTATTCAGAAGAAGAAAAAAGAAAAATAAGCAAAAGTGTTTCATTGGAGCATATACTTTTTTGACAGTATATTATTTTCAGTATTTAGATTTCTATATATTCTCTAAAAGGATGGCTTCTCTGTATAACTTATAAGTATTCAATTAAATTTCTTACAAGCATTCACAGTGTTTCCTTTTTTAACTGAACATCTCTGGCCTAGTTGTCCATGTTTGTTTATCTCCCTTCTTCCCCCACCAAGTGCTAAAGCAGATGGCCACCCTCCCTGACTGTGGTTCTTTTTCTCCAAAACACTACCCCACGAACTCTCAGTGGGATCCTGTATTTTCCTAAATTAGCCAACCTGTTGTGAAAACTGATGTTGTGTGAATAAAAGCACAATGAACGTGAATGAACTGTATTAAGTTGAGATATATCATAATAGAATTGATCTGCTATTAATTGCATTTTATATGAGTTAAATAAGGCACAAAGATGCAATTTTGTAAAACATGATAGGTTTTGAACTTCTGCACTTTTTACTGCTTTTTGAACTCTTTCTTGCAAGCCAAATGTAGTAGTTGTGATCTGTTAAGTTGAATGCACTTAATGGCCTGTCAAAATAGTTACTGGGTTATATAATATCAACTTGATGCATTAAAACATCGAAGGATGGCAAAAACGACCATGCTGATGTTCAAATCCATAATTAGAATGGGAAAGGAGGGATTTAGCAGCTTTTGTTTCTTATTGCTTCAGCTGGTCTGACTATTCTAGATTGTTCGAGGATTTCTTTCCCACACAATAAATTCTCAGAAGTACAGTAGTACTGTATCTATTAAGGGACAGCTCTGAGAGCAAAAATGTCATCAATTATTAAGGAAGGACAGACAGGTTAGAGGTGATTTAAATACAACAATCACTCAAAAAAGCAACTTATTCAAAACAAACTAAGCAGAATAGTGTCTTAATAGATGTTTAGCCTTTAAGCAGATGTCTAATGGCAGCAGAAAACCACTGCTGTCAGCAAAGAACAGGAAAACACAGCTACAATTTACACAAAGACTAAAACTGGACAACAGATTGGAGAAACCTTTTCTGATCCAACAAGTCTTAAATGCAGCGGTAAAATTCAGATGGGAGGGTCAGAAGTGGGAACCATTTAGAAACAATTTAGGCCGATGGTGATGGTGTAATAGTTTGGGGGAGATTTTTAACCCAGTATGGGTCCCTAAACACCACCACAGACCTGTTGTTGCCAGGATTTACCCATCATCCAGCTTATCTATCTGGTTTCTATGATTTCAGTGGACCTTTATAGCTTCTAAAGTCAACAGATCTCAGTGCAGCGTCTTTCAGATGTGATGGTACTGGAGATTGCAATGATAGATGTATGATTTCATGATGCTTTCATGTCAGTCTGGATTAAATTCTCCAGCATTTGTTTCAAGCAGCCTTTTTATAATAAGGGCAGTTCTGACGGAAAAAGTGGGTCCAAAGTACTTCACAAAATGTACCTAACAAAATAGCAGGTGACTGTATTCTGCATAACAAGTATTCTAATGTTTTCTGGAGAAATATCTAACATGGGGAGAAAAAAAGTCTTTTATTATGCGGCACAAGGCCTGATCACACATTCTGCATGCCAGGATTGAACTGCTAAGTTTTCACATTAGCAGAAAGCTACTCTTGCCAAAGCTTTAAAGTTGAGCTGGAAACCGTTCAATAAGCCATGAGGTGTTTTATTGAATCCAGAACTTTATAGGGGTCTTGAGTTACTCATATCTCACGCCCCATTAAAAATAAGAACTTGTCCCATGCTGCCAAAAAACTCCTCAAAATGTGTAATGTAAACACATAAGCTTGGCAGGCAAATATATATGACTTCT